GCCCAACCTGGGCCTTGAGTGTATTAAGGGCCCCATTTCCGGGCTCTATTAACATCCATAGTAATAGTTTTACTTAGTGCCATATATTTTAATTGTGTACTGTTTTAATTGTTTTTAGTTGTTTTTGTTTTATGATGTATATTGCCCATAATTACTTGTTAAGATTAGCAGTTATAGAAATAAAAATAAAATAAAGTACAAAAGCACTTAGCATTATTCTTAGCAATGTGTGTGTACCAAATTCTTCCTATATCACCTACAGACTTTACATAATGATAAAACCCAAGACAGTCTGCTGAACATCAACCTCAGGAATATGGTATGGAAATCCTTGAAATCCCAGACCAGATTTGTCTATTTTATCTGGAGTTAGGTTTTTCCCACTTTGTGTTTCTGTGCTGGATGTAGTGCTCTTCAGTGATTTTCATAAATCTTAGATGATGGGAGAGAAGGGATATCATCAGATTTGCAAGTGGCACAAAGATGGGGAGACATACTAATACCTAAGAACAGGGGTCTTCAAACTTGGCCCTTTTATGACTTCTGGACTTCAACTCCCAGAATTCTTCAGCCAGGCACGCTGGCTGAGGAATTCTGGGACTTGAAGTCCACAAGTCATAAAAGGGCCAAGTTTGAAGACCCCTGCCTAAGAAGATAGGCTCTGGGTTCAAAAGGATCTTGAAAGGTTTGACATTGGGCCTTTGCAACAAGATGCAATTCAGTGGTAATCAGGAAAAATCAGATTATAAAGTAGGTGATCAACATGGCTGAAAGGGAGTTCAGTCTGTTTCCTCCTAATGCTAGTATAACACCTCAGCCACTACACATTCTGACTCTTCTTTCTTATAGGGTCAAAGGCAGCTTTTATTAGAGAAAAACTGGGGCCACTGTTTTCTCACATATGCAGTATATTTTAAATAGAATCATCTCAACACCACACACACACACCACTTCAGGGCGACAATAGTGATACATTCCAATAGTCACAAAAGCTAAAAGAGCTTGTATACAGTCAAAGAATAGAGACATGTGCTTTATCAGCTTATATCAGTTCCTCTTGAAAAAAAAAAGTATGCAGATTTTTAATCTTATCCTTATGGTAGTTTTAAAGGTAACTACGTAGAGTTCTGGTGATGAGCACAAGAGGTCACTGCAACACTTCCCAGATTGACAACCAAGCTTTTAATGCAGGAGTCTTCAAACTTGGCCCTTTTATGATTTGTGGACTTCAACTCCCAGAATTACTCAGCTGGAAACGCTGGCTGAGGAATTCTGGGAGTTGAAGTCCACAAGTTATTAAAGGGTCACGTTTGAAGACCCCTGCTTTGATAATCAGGAAAAAAAAATAACACCCTACCAACGGTTAATACTTCTTAACAGAATGCACAATTAATGAATGAAATTTACCACTAAACATGCACAAGTGCTTGCAAGTATAAGTGACTTTTAAAAGATTCATTCTACAGATGAGTTTATTATTTCTTTGTTGTTATTATTGTTCAGTTTTCATTCAGTGTTCAGTTTTCTTCTAATTCAATGTGACCAAAGTTAGTTGAACTTGTAAATCATAGGAAACAGCAGTAATAGGTAATCAGGTATGTTACTGATTCCTACCTGTCTGTTATCCAAATGGCTGCATGGAATGATAATATACAACAATTGAACCAAGTAAATAAAATAAATGGATACGGAAACGAAAGTATATTTTCCCACTAGTATATGAACAATAAAGGGATTTTAGGAATTAACTAATTGCATTTTGTAGTTGATGCCACCACAAATAGATAGCTCTGCTTTACGTGATGTGTGTCCCTATTCAGGTAATCCTCACTTAAATGATCCTAATTCATTCCAGCAACTATATTACTAAATGATGTGGTTCTTAAGTGAAACATCACATTGACCGTCCACTTATTGACACAGTTCTGGCAATCCCACTTGCTGTTATTGAGACAATTTAATAAGGTCTTTAGGCAAAGAGCCATCCAATCTTGGAAGCCCATTCTTGGATTGCCTCCATTTAAACTTCCCCCATCTTGCTGGCCATCTCTATCCTTTTGGCTGCCTGTTTACCTACTACTGCCCCCGCCCCATGCACGCCACTATTGGCCAGGGCCTTCCTTTGCAATGGTGCAGTTAGGCTCTTTTTAAAACATGCTCTATGGAGCCCCTTTTCATGAAATGAAGTCCCAGCTGGCTCACAAAAGAAGAACCCAGTTGGTAGTGGCATATAGCATGGCACATACCCACCTATCTATATCCCTCACATGTGAGCTTGCAGGACATTTCCAAAGCACCTCCTTCATATGTGGCCAAGGTGGTGAACCCAACCAAGGGGACATAGGCAAAGATAACAAAGATCAGCCGAGGGAGGGCAGTGACAGTCCTAAATGTGCATGGGTCTTGATTTTGTTCATATAACAATGGGCATGTTGTGATGGCCAGAACAACAAAGACTAATCTTAAATCCTTTGTTCAGTGCTGTTGTAATTTGAATGGTCACTGACTGAATGGTCATTAAATGAGAATTATATAAAGTAGTTCTTGAAAGTTAACCCTATGTTTTTCAAACTACACCTGAAAGCAAAGATCAAGTTCACTGGAAATGAAACCTAATTCAGGCTTTTAATGAGCTCTGGAAGTGCCTTTCTCTACCCTCCTCCCACATATCTCCAGGAATGGTACAAAACACTCATCTTGGCTTAAAGGGGAATTTAAAAAACCATAAGAGTCTTTTAGCTTAATAAATCAAGTCAATACATTTACGGTAAATAAGAACACAGTTATTATTGTTGTTACGTTTATATACCACTTTTCCTTTCAAATGGAAATCATGAGGGATTAATCAACAACAAGTTTAGGTCTGTTTTGATGGAATAAGAAGCCATTCAGTTTATGAATTAGAAAAGAGGGGCACATGTCACTCTAAGGAGCTTGCAAAGAAGCAGGCCAAAATTCATTCAGATCAACAAGATACATATGAAGTATAATTTGTTTAAAGCTTTTTTTTTTTTAAAAAAAAAAAAACAACCCACCTTGTTAGTCATAAAGAAATGCAATTATGGAGCTTAGCATAAACAGGGGGAAAAGCAACATCATATCAGGAAGATGGGCAGTACCCTTCTCTCCATCTCACAACTCTGAACTGGGCCACAAGCATTATGGAGCCTATCTTTTAAGAATCAATTCTCTGCATCAGGTAAAGAGAACACAAAGCAGAGCCAGGGAGCAATTGTTGGAAAGCAGAGGAATAGAACAGAATAGAATAGAGCTGGAAGGGACCTTGGACATCTAGTCCAACCTCTTGCTCAAGCAGGAGAACCTATCCATCTCAGACAAGTGACTGTCCAGTTTCTTCTTAAAAACCTCCATTGATGGAGCACCCACAATTTCTGAAGGCAAGCTGTTCCACTGGTTAATTGACCTCACTGTCAGAAAGTTTCTCAATTCCAGGTTGTTTCTCTCATTGGTCAATTTCCAACCATTGCTTCTTGTCCTGCTCTCTGGTGCTTTGGAGAATCGTTTTGTCTTCCTCTTCTTTGTGGCAGCCTCTCAAATACTGGAATACTGCTATCATGTCGCCCATTTCTTCTTTTCTTTAGACTAGCCAAACCCAAGTGCTGCAGCCGTTCTTCATATGTTTTAGTCTCCAGGCCTTTGATCATTTTAGTTCAGTGGTTCTCAACGTTTGTGTGATGGCGACCCCCATCACACAAACATTCTGCGCATGCGCAGCGCGCATGCGCGGCGGCGCCCCCTGAGGGGAGAAAATGGCGGATCGCCTTCTTTGGCGACCCCCGAAAAATGGTTGATCGACCCCAAATGGGGTCGCGACCCATAGGTTGAGAACCGCTGTTTTAGTTGGTCTTCTCTGAACTTTTTCCAAGATCTTTTTTTGTAGTATGGTGACCAAAATTGGTTGCAATATTCCAGGTGTGGCCTCACTAGGGTTTTATAAAGCAGTACTCATACTTCGTGTGATCTTGATTCTATGCCTCTGTTTATACAATCCAGGATTGTATTAGCTTTTTTGGTGGCTGCTGCACACTGCTGGCTCAAGTGATCTTCCACTAGGACTCCAAGGTCCCTCTCACAGTTGCTGTTTTTGAGCCAGATCTTGCCTAATCTGTACTTAAACCTTCAATTTTTTCCTACCTAAATGTAAAACTTTGCTTTTCCCCACACTGAAGCTTATTTTGTTGGATAGGACCCATTGTTCAAGTTTGTGAAGATTTTTTTGGATCCTGAGCTTGTCTTCCGCAGTGTTGTCTATTCCTCCCAGTTTGGTGTCATCTGCAAATTTGATAAGTTCCCCATCTATTCCCTCATCTAAGTCATTAATGAAGATATTGAACAGTACTGGGCCTAAGACAGAACCTTGTGGTACCCCACTACTTACTTCTCTGTGTGGATGTAGTACCATTGAGAACTACTTGCCGAGTACGATTTGTCAGCCTGCTGCAGATCCGTCTGATGGTGTTGTTGTTTATCCCACCTTTTTCTAGCTTACTAAGCAGCAAGTTGTGGTCTACTTTGTCAAATGCCTTACTGAAGTCTAAGTATACTATGTCCACAGCATTTCGCTGGTCCTCTAATTTGGTGACTTTATCAAAGAATGAAATAAGATTGGTTTGACATGATTTGTTTTTGTCAAAACCCGTGCTGGCTACTGGTTATAACTTTGTTTGCTTCTAGTTGTTCACAGATCTGGTTTTGATTATCTTTTCCAAGATCTTCCAAGGTATTGATGTTAGATTGATTGGTCTGTAATTTCCTGTTTTTTTTTTAACTTTCTTGAAGATGGGAACCACATCAGTCCTTTTCCAATCCTCAGGTACTTCTCCAATGCTCCAGGATTTTTGAAAGATATGGTGCAGTGGTTCTGAGATAACATCTGCCAGCTTCTTCAGAACTCTGGGATGTAGTCTGTTAGGTCCCAGTGATTTATATTTGTCAATATCGGATAGGTGTTCTCTTGCCATTTTTTTCGCTTATTTTAATTTTTGTTTCTAGTTTGTCTTTTGCAATAGTTTTTTTGGTATGTTGGGCTATAATTTCCTTTTGTGTGAGGACTGACCAAAAGAATGAGTTAAGCAGCTCTGCTTTCTTGAGGGCCTTAACATTAGGGACTTCTAGAAAGAAGGAAGCATCATCAGAAGGCTCTGATCTGGTTGCTCAGGAACAGTCAATACCCTTACAAGAGATGACAAAGCAGCATGTATGGCTGGTTACAAGGAAAGCACACAACCTGGTTTTAGTAGCATCATCTAGTTTCTGCTTCTATGTTGTTTTCAGATAGTTTTTGCATCACACTGAGCCTATTATTGAGGCTTTTGGTAATTTTGCTTTGCAGCCACTTTTGGGGTTCTTCTGGTAGTTATCATCAATAAAATACTATGCGCCTATCAAAGTGTTGACCAGACAGGGTAACTTAGGAAGATCAGTTCATTCTACTATCTCTCTTCTGTATCTGGTTTAAGGCAACAACAAATGTCTGTCATAAATCTGCAACTGCACTAGTCTTTTCAAGATAATTTGCAGAAGTTTTTGATCAGTCAACAGATCAGTTGGGCCAGGCAAACTTCAAAAATAAACTGGAAGAAGTGCTTCATACCTCACAAGAACACAACATCTCTCTGGTCTTTGTTAAAGCAACCCCCCTTTTTAAGACTGAATAATGGATGTTGCTGCCTTAAGAGTCACATAAGAGTTGAGTCATTAAAGCAGAAGCACTTTTACCTACACAAATAGAAGCTATAAGTTTTAAGGAAAAGCAGAGAAAGGTTACATTTGCAGCAGATTGAGCTAAGTTTCACCTGATTTTTTGAAATGTGCACAGCACTACTAATCAGTTCTCAAGGACTTGCATAAGGCTTTGCCTTGTCAGAAAATTCTGCCTCGGCCCTATTCTGTAGTCTTTTCCATTCTCAGACAGGATGCTAATTTGAGCACCAACAATTGCATTTATTAAGTTAAGTCCCAATCATAGAATGGACGATTTCAGATTGGAGTTCTTGGCAAATGTTTACATAATTGGGGAGGATGACATGAATGACAGATATGTACCATTTAATTAACTACCTCAAATATACTATAGAGAGATAGGGTCTTGAGCTAATGAGTAATTCTTGAGATTTTAAATCCCCCTTAGAGGGATTGCAGGAAAGCCAACTGATTAGAAAGCCTATTATAAAACAAAGAATGAAAACAAAAAAAGAAGGGGAAATTTAGTATATGCATAAGAAAAGTGTGGCTCATACATTGTGTTAATCCACATTTTGCTTCACCCATGATTGGCTGAAAAAGTCATAATGGAATGAACCAGGGGTAATAGTAAACCATAAATCAGCCCTGCATTTTCAGCCCATGGGCCATACGTGGCCTGCCAAGCAGCCTTGAAGGTCCACTAGCATTTTTTAAAAGGTCATTAAATTCAACCACCAAAAAGCACCACTGTCATGAAGGATCTCCTGTTGCTTCCTCAAAAGACACACTGCCAAGTGCCTCCAGTATCTCCAGGCGTTAGTGGTGCTGCCAATACCTGCTACCACTCTGCTAGCTGATCAACGAACCAGATATTCCTATGCAGCCTGCAATTATTTTTAATTTATCAGTGTGGTAAATTTGTGCAGACCTGCCATAAATTAGGGTTCACAAACTATAATGGCTGCATTCATAAGGTCTAAGTTCTAATGGGATTCTTACGATTTAAAGTCAGAGTAGCAGAAAATCTCTAGAGAAATAAATTCAGGACTTTTTTTGTACTAAAAAAAAATCCATAAAAGACATAACGTACATAAGACATGATGTACCCTTATTTGCAACAGTGGCAAATATCTGTAGCTCAGATATAGGATGAGGGTGAAGGTTCATTGTCTGAGTTTGTGGGTTGGTTTCCGAATGTTTCATTACCAGGCGAGGTAACATTTTCAGGGGAGTTTAGGGAATGTCAATGTCAGTGTTTTCTGTTTATAAGGGCTTCACATGTGGGTGTGTTGAGTGAGGGTCTTGTGATGGGTCAGGTGTGAGTCTTGTGATGGGGAGGCCATCACAAGACCCATCACAAGACCCTCACTCAACACACCCACACCTGAAGCCCTTATAAATAGAAGAACCCGGACATCTCCTAATCTCCGCTGAAGATACTATCTAGCCTGGCAACGAAACGTTTGGACACCAACCCGTAAGCTTGGATAACAAACCTTCGCCCTCACACCCTTATTTGCAGTGGACCTACAAACCATCCAGTACATCTGCATTCATTGCACTAGGTGCCAAATGTTTCTCATAAATAACTGCTGCCTTTGCGTTTCAAACAAAGGCAATGTTTACAACGGACCAGAGAGAGAATGAGAGTTAGATCTCTTCTTCCTCCTCACTCGCGGCTCCATCTAGCGGGCTGGCTGCGTGTTCAGCCTGTTCCTTCATATACTCGGCTTTTAGCTGCTCTAGTTCTCTCAGCTCAGCTTCCACTTTTAATCTATGCACTCCACGTCGATTCTGAAGCAGCTTCATGGGAAACGGATTCATATCACTGAAGGCGATGCTCATCAGCTTTCTGGAAGAGGAGAATACATGAGCCAAACAAGAAATAGATAAATAGTAACTCTGCCTGAACATACATTTGGGAGAGAAATATCCTTCTTCAAAATATAGCAGTTTTGCAAAGAGCCGATCCAAAGCTCAACATGTTTGTGATGTTATGTAAAAGGCCTCTCTTAGATCATACTAATTCAGATTTCCTGGGAAGCCTTTTTTTTGTATGCAGTTAATTGAAGCTTTATATTAGACAAAAGGACCTGCAACAAACTATGATGATGATGGGTAATGACACTATCTCTTAAATGCTATCATTATGTGCTTATGATGTAAGTATGCACAATGCGATATTTGTGAGATGCCATCATACCATCATCATTATTAATCCCCCTTTGCCATACCCTGAGAGACACCCATGGTATTAGAATTGGTGGTCAATCAAATTAGGAAAACACAGAGACAAAGATTTAGAAATCAGTAATACCAAAACTCAAAACCCATTAGTAAGTATATTGAAATGAGAAGGAAAAGGGATATTAACAAAGTCTATTTATTCGATTGGTGCTCAAGCATCCTTTTCACATCATACAAGTAGAAGCCCTTCCTTGGAGTTAATGAGTTTGCCATCTGACCATTATGTTATTTCAAGATTGGGCAACAACATGAGGAACTAGGTCTGGCATGACTTAATAAAGGAATAGAGACCTGTTTTGGTCCAGATGTCAGCCTCAGCAATATGTTAAACTACTTGATCTGTCTTGATTCTCCTGCATTGCCTTTGGCTTCTGAGAACTCTTACCTGCCATCACAGATAGTTTTGGTGAAAAAACGAAGATATTGATAGAATTCCAGATTGTCTCGAATCTTCAATATTGCTTCTTCATTATATTTAAAAATTGCGAGTGCGTAACGGAATATCACCTGGGGCAAAAAGAAACTTCATTGACTTTCATGTACTATATTAGTGGAGGGAAATAGCCACACCTGAATAATTTACACGGATGTAAAAACTTACACAGGATAGTAAGGATTCAATAAACATGTTAGGTATCCTGAAGACTGATCTAAATTGGTCCAGCTGCTGGGGAATAGATGCAGACACTTAACCAACTTGGTGGATGAGTGTAACGTTCTTACCTTGGCACCTTCATAGAGGAAAGCATCCCAAACTCTGAGGAGAATATCGCTGACAAGACTATCAACAAAAACAACCAGGAACCAGTTGAAGGTCACTAAGGACAGGTCAATTTGAAGTTGATTCAAGTGCGCTGTCAGCCTGGGAAGCTTCTCTGCTAAGATGTCTTTGAAAACTCTTTGATCTACCTGGATTTGGCAAAATATCAATAGTGATAAACACTTATGTTAGAAAGGTTATTCTTCATTTCTATGGTCTCACGGCTGATCATTCTTATAGAGAGGAAGATCTGTATGGGAAAATGAGATCTATTAGATACTCCTGTCTGGAACCATTTAAAAATGTTTAAATATTCTTTCCATCACTTTGAAACAAACATACAGTCTTACACTGTAGCTATTCCAATAAGATCAGCTACAGTGTATATGAATACAGTGTACAGTATAGTGTATATACTGTATATGGCTCAAAAGTCATAACTGTGAGAAGAATCTAGGACAATAGTGGCGAACCTATGGCACGGGTGCCAGAGGCGGCACTCCAGAGCCCTCTTTGTGGGCACACGTGCCGTTACCCCAGCCTTGCCCCCCCCACGACTCCCTCCTCTCCAGCAGCTCCCCTGAAGGAGACTCGCCCTCGAGCGTGGCCCACATGGAGCAGCGCAGCCAAGGACATGGCAGCCAGGCAGCATAGACAAGACTCTGCCCTCACACCCCATCATGCAGTTGATGCTGCAGGGCGTGGGCAGAGGGTGTGGCCGCCATAATGCTGCTGGGCTGCCTGGGCGATCTGCGGCGGGCCTTGGAGGCGGTGAGTGGTCCTGTGGGCAGGTGGGGGCAGGGAATGGGGGGCAGATGGGGGACGGGCAAGGGGGTGGAGCGGGGGCGGGGCCAATTTTTGGGCACTCGGTCTCTAAAAGATCTAGGAGTCCTAGTGGACAATCACTTAGATATGAGCCAGCAATGTTCAGCCGCCGCCAAAAAAGCTAATACAATCCTTGGCTGTATAAGCAGAGGGATAGAGTCAACATCACGAAAAGTATCAGTACCGCTTTATAACACCTTAGTAAGACCATATCTTGAATACTGCATCCAGTTTTGGTCACCACATTATAAAAAAAAGACTTTGGAAATTGTGCAGAGAACAGCAACAAAGATGACTAGGGGACTGGAGACTAGAACATTTAAAGAACAGTTGCAGGAATTGGATATGGCTAGTCTAGAGAAAAGAAGTGACATGATAGCAGTGTTTCAATATTTGAGGGTCTGCCACAAAGAAGAGGGGATCAACCTATTTTTCAAAGCACCAAAAGGCAAGGCAAGATGGAAACTAATCAAGGAGAGAAGCAACCTAGAACTTGTCAGGGATAGACTTGTTAGGCAAGACAAGAAACAATGGATGAAAACAAAACAAGGAGAAAAACAACCTAGAACTAGAGAGAAATTTCCCAACAGTGAGAACAATCAACCAGTGGAACGGTTTGCCTTCAGAAGTTGTGGGTGCTCCATTACTGGAGGCTTTTAAAAAGAGACTGGACAGCCACTTGTCTGAACTAGTATAGGGTCTCCTGCTTGAGCAGGGGGTTGGACTAGAAGACCTCCAAAGTCCCTTCCAACTCTGTTACTCTGCATTCTGTAGATCCTTCCAATATGTTCTGCCATAATATAAGCAATTCTCAAAATTACTTATTTCTCACAGTATAAAATTCTGTAATTATCCTGTTCCTCCGCACAGAAGAAAGCGTCAGACTTACTTGCGAGCCTATTAATGTGTTGCTGTAGTAATCTTGAGGCATTAAATTGTTTGTGATATGAACTAAACACCAGAAAGCTTCTTCTTCCTCTTCTAGAACCAGCAAGGCAATGGCAGCCAGTCTGCGATGAGTAAGACACCATTATAACTAAAGCAGGTAAACATATTACACATTAGACCTGAATGGTCTAATGGTCACAGATCTGAATTTTCAATGTTGGAAATAACAACAAAATGAAAAGAACAACAAAAAAATGCTGAAGACCCAGAGAATTCTTTTTAAAAATAAAAAGTAACAAATGTAAGCAGGCACCTGTTCAATCCTTGGCAATAGCCGATGGTTGGATTTTGCCAGGAGAATGCAAGTAAAACTCTTCTAAGTTTGGGAATAAACTGGGAAGCCGGTGACATAAAATGTTTATTGTTGGGCAGCGTGCGATGCAGATCCAGTTCAATTTGCTGGGAAGCTGGGTGCTCAGCATTTTCACACTTCTTGAGTAAATTGTGGTAATGACCAGCGGAGCGTGTTTGCTTTAACTGATGGCTGATAATCCATCTCCATACCCTCTGGCGATGCACTATGGGGACACCACAGCGCAATAAGCTTTTTAGCTCTGAAGAGGGTGTCAGTTCTCCAAAGTTATTCCATCGCTCAGAGAGAGGTTTGTCCGTGGTCTCCTTGTTCAGATTGGTGTATTTGATCTCCAGGGCCTGGATTTTGGCCAAGAGCTTCCGGTCTGCAGCTTCATATTCAGGAACTGTCATAAACCCGTAATCATCATATTGGCTAAACAGTGGAAAGAACAGAATTAGGGAAATACCAAGTTATTAGGCCACACTGGTGGTGAAAATGTGAATTGTCTTTAAACATCTTGTACAAACATAGCAACAATGTTAAAAAAAAAATGGAGGCATCTTTTGGAGATCCTGAAGAAAGCGTATGATCATGTGCACTTCAATAAAAATTAGTCCTTATAAACTAATGATCTACTTTTTTTTTAGCTTTTACAATAACACACTTGGACCAAAAATACCCTGTGAAAAAATAAGGCAAGTAAAGTGATCTACATTTATCTGCTGTTTGAATACACAAATGAAGACCAGCAACTAAAGCTATGTTATCTTACCTCAACTTAACCTACGTTATTGCAAAAGCAGCATAAGGACACGTAGCATTATCGGTTGGCCATCAGTTGAAAGAATGAATCTGAAATCCTGGCTTCCAGCTACAGTGAGCCTGGTGCAAATGCAACCATCCTATCTGCAGACTCTCATTCCTTTCGTTAGAGTGCTGAAGTAGCATTGTGGCAATGCACTGGAAGCTCCACCCTTTTTGGTGTGTGTGTGTGTGTGTGCAATGTAACAACACAGGTACTGTAGAACAGAGGTCCCCAACCCCTGGTCCATGGACCAGTACCGGGCCACGGCATGCCAGCAACTGGTCCACACAAACAAGCAAAGCCCCATCTGCCATATGGAGACGGCACACAAAACCAAACCCCCTCCGGTCCGTGGAAAAAGCTCTCTCCATGGAACTGGTGCCCAAAAGGTTGGGGACCTCTGTTGGAGAAACCCCCCCAATCTTGCTTTTCCCCCCACCCCACTGAGGATATCACTGATCCACTCCACAGACATGCCACGCCTCTTTCACGAACAGTCCTATTAGTAATTTACTTGACTGGGCTTAGCTGAACAGGAACCAGGGTGTCTTCCTTCATATCCCATTGCAGGGCCTCTTCAATGAGTCCCGTCACCAAGGCCATGTGTTCCTGAGCCAAATCCGGCAGTCCCTGCAGGGTCCTTAGAAACATCAGGTACTTGCTTTCAATCTGGCAATTGTGGGCTTGCAGTTGAGCACACTGCCGTAAGAAGAGAAAAAAAGGTTGTCAAAACAGAGGCTTGTTATATCTGCCTCTTGGATTCATTCTGAATGTATTCTGATTTTTAAGTTCTTTTTTTTTTTTTAAAGAATAGAGCAACCGTCTACAGCAGTGGTTCTCAACCTATGGGTCGGGACCCCATTTGGGGTCGAACGACCATTTCACGGGGGTCGCCAAACAACGCAGTCCGCCATTTTTTCCCTTTTCCTTAGCTGTGCTACTCCCTTTTATTCTATTGGCTTTTGAAAGCCAATAGAATAGACTCTCTTGAATAGAGTCTAATTCTATTGGCTTTCAAAAGCCAATAGGAATTGTCCAGGCTGTCTCTGCCCTGCTGAGCCCACCAAAAGTCCCATTCTGCAAACGGTGCTGCACCAGTTGAGTAGTCCTCGACTTACGACCGGTTGGGGGTCGCGGCATTAAAAAGGTTGAGAACCACTGGTCTACAGATTAAAGTATGGAGTATTGAAATCAACTGTTTTGAGGCAGGAATCTGATCTTGTTAGTATAAATTCATATGTTCTGTCGTTCATTTGACCTGTGTATCATATGTAAAGGTAAAGGATTCCCCTGCCCAATCGAGTCTGATTCTAGGGCACGGTGCTCATCTCCGTTTCCTAACTCAGGGGGAAAAAAAAGTTTGGGGACCACTGTTTTAAGACACTCTGGGATGAATAAATGAAAGGTATTGCAAAGACCTCTAAGGAACAATGAAACTTTCTGTTGCCCTGACACAAACACACTGCTATTTTTGGAACACTTTGTCTGCTGCGGGAATTCTATCAACAAAGGCTGGTGCCAGTCGGCTTTAGGATTGGTGAAAAAAATTCTGCTCTTATCATAACTGTCCAAAAAGTAACAACTGCAGTGTTGTTACTTTTCTTCATTTGTCAATCAGCCATTGAATTAGTAGCAACATTGGGTTAAATTAAGGATTCTCTCTTTTCCACTGACCATCTCATACACTAATCATCAAGACTGCTTTTAACTGCACGGTCTCATTTTGGATGTGATGCTAGGGACCTATTTAGATGATAATTCAGAATATTACTGAGTAGGAAGGGACCTTATAAGTAATCAAGTCCAACCCCCTGCTCAGTGAAGGCTCCTTGGTCAGAGTACCTCAGATGACCATCCAACCTCTATTTCAGCGGTTCTCAACCTGTGGGTCACGACCCCATTTGGGGTCAAACCACTATTTCACGGGGGTCGCCAAACAACGCAGTCCGCCATTTTTTTCCCCTTTTCCTTAGCTGTGCTACTCCCTTTTATTCTATTGGCTTTTGAAAGCCAATAGAATAGACTCTCTTGAATAGAGTCTAATTCTATTGGCTTTCAAAAGCCAATAGGAATTGTCCAGGCTGTCTCTGCCCTGCTGAGCCCGCCAAAAGTACCAGTCTGCAAACGGTGCTGCAAGTTGTCTGCAGCGAAGGCGAGCGAAGTTTCCTCCCTGCTGAGCAACTACTAAAAATGTAAGTAAAAGAGGGCCAGGGGTGGGAAGTGGGAGGCCGGCGGGCACAGAGAGGGTTGCTGGCACACGTGGGGCCTGGCGGGTGCCTTACCTCCCTTGGGCTGGGCCAGCTGGTGGCCCAGCCGGTGGTCGGCCTGCTCCATCTCTGCCACTTGCCAGCTACGCATCAGCTGGCGCAGGGGGCGGCACCACGCATGTGCGGCGCTCCCGGGCAGGGAAAGTCCTTGACTTACGACCGGTTGGGGGTCGTGGCATTAAAAAGGTTGAGAACCACTGCTCTATTTGAAGATGATAGCTCATATCATCATGTTTATGTGGCTAGGCATTTGATATGTGGATTTGATATTTATGCTTTAATCACAGAATTAGGTGGGAAAAACAGGCATTAGCAGCTATCTAAGGGTGGCTGTTTCTTACCATCATGAAATTCCTATACTCAATTATCTGTTTAATGTCAACTGGGTTGTGCTTTTCAAGCTAAGTTTGGCTCATCTCATTTTTGTAAATTAAAAAAACAACAACACTGAATTCATTGTTCTTTACAACTTGATGGGTTTCCATTTCACCTAGTTGTTAATATGATTTTTTTTTCAAAAGTTATGCTCTTTTTGAACACATCTGTCCCAAATATATGTTTTGTGCTTACTTGCGAATAAAATGATGGATTTTTAGCAGATTCCATCATTTATTATTGACCGAAATCACTTGGATTAACTGTAGCAGCAATTTGAGGGCAGATTTATTTTGTCTATCCACATCTAGGGAATCCTGAAATGTTGCAATCACACTGAACCAATCTGCACATAGATGCGTTTATGAATAAGATTTTTTTTTCATATATCTGAATTCACATGTGAAAATTGAATCCACAGCTGGCCCAAGAACACAAAATTGGGGTAAAGCCAATCATGTGGCCCTCCTCAAACTGCATCATGTGAACAGCCACATGCCAGTGACATGAGAAATGAGCAAATAAAAAGAGTTCCCAAAGTTCTCTGTGTTTGACAGACAAGTAGAAAACTTCCTATATATTTGAAAATCAGATTTAAAATGTAAGAAGAAAACCAAAGCACCAATGTGGGTCAAATAGCCTTGCTTCTTACCTTCATCAGAAGGTTTTTTTCTCTCTGTGCCACTGTGCTCCATATTTTGCTAACCTGGTGGACTTCAGAGTTCAAAAATTGGTTCTGAGTCTTATATGCCTCAAGATCATCCTGAGAAAAAGACATGAAAAGGCATGTAAAGTAACCTTCACCCTAAAATACTCATGCAATTAGGTATAGATTGATGGACCCTGGGATCTTGACAAGGAAGGAAGGAAGGAAGGAAGGAAAGATTGGGCTCTTTTTATTTCTTTATAGTGACCCTTCCCAGGTTTTTCAAATTAATCAAGAATATTGTGGCCTAAAATGTAACTTAAGCCTTCACTCTTCTAATGTCTATGTAGACTTTGACAAATGTTACAGCTACACAGATAAATAGAACAATTTCTTACAATATTAATGCGGATTAGGCAATGGGAACTAAGCCCCATACAACTGAGGACTCATGTCATAGATACTGTTTAAAGCCGGGGGGGCTGCTGGTGAGGAGGGGGCTACGGGGGGAGGCGGGGCTGGGGTGACAGCGTGTGTGCCCACAGAGAGGTCTCCGAGTGCCGCCTCTGGCACTAGTGCCATAGGTTCGCCACCACTGGCTTGTACTATTTGAGCCTAGTTGTGAATTCCTCTCAGAGTACCTTCAGGTGTTCGATCTTTTCCTGTTGCTTGTACAAGGTCTCAGCCATGATGCTGTCTGCCTCAGTAACAGAGTCAGACATCTCTCTAGTGAGCTGGTCTGTCAGCTTGAGGATGACTTGTTGCTTGGCTTCGTTTTTGTCCATCAAGAGCTGCACATGTTCTCCCAGCTCCTTGATGTGCTCCTCCTTCAAAGCAGCTTCCTGCTCCAGGTCTTTCTTTTCCATCTCTAGCACTTGGACCTGTTTACTCAGCTCAGCAATCTGCCTCACTTTGTGGCGCACTAATTCCAGCCTGTCTTTTTCCGTAGCTGTGACCAGATACCTGCAGGACTCTCGTTTCTCTTTCTGAGCTGCCTCCAGAGCTTTGTGAAGAAGTTTGACCAGTTCCTGTAAGAGGAAAAAAAATATATGAAAAGACAAATCTATCTATTACTAAACTGGGTAGGACCCATGGAAGTAGTCCACCATTATATACTATAAGCCCAAGAGCAACAATGGGAAAGAAAAGATCTCCTGATTTTCCATTTAGGGCTTTTTAGGTGCATCTGATGGGCCACTGTATGAGGCAGAAAACTTGCTAGTTAAGTTTAGGCCAAATTCAGCAGCTCTATTTTTATGTTCTCTTTCTCTCATGAGAACACATTACTTTGTAGTTCAACCCCAACAAAATATCTCTTCAAATACAGAAAGAACATACATATAAAAGACATAGGTCAAGATCTCCACACTAGCAGCACATCTGGAATTTTGGCAGTAGGTTTTAAGCACTCCAAAGAAAATGGCTAAAATGAAAATGGCTGAAGTGATAGGCACAGATAATAATAAATCATTTAATCGGAAACTGATTAACAATTCTTTCCTAGCAGCTTCTCTGCCTACCACAACACCCTCTTTTATCTTTGTTTTTTTTTTTTTTTTTGCCCCCTGGGCAATTGGGTAGATTGTCCAGTAAAGCACCAAAGCAAAGCAAAACACTAAGCCCGCAGGTTCTAACATTTTGTTTTCTAAAATGCTTCTGGGTCAATTTGGAGCCTGTATCACAGACACTGCTGGAAATAAATGACATTTGCAGAATGCTACCTTTTTTCCTTTAATTAAAAGGATATATTTTTTAAAAAAAATCAACATGTAACAGGTAGTCTTTTGGCTGCCAAACAAAATATACTTAAAGATCATGTTGTGGACTGAGAGATAGATGGATACAGTGCATAGCTCTCCTGCAGATCTTCTAAAATGAGAGGAGAAAAAATCATGGTGGCAGATTTGTTTTCCAAGGAACTTGGTCCAATTAAAATGTTTTTTCCCCATTCCCTCCTTCTAAGACCATAAGCAAACTGACATAAAATAGCAGAGTAGCTTATGTGCTGTGCTGTGACAAGATCTCCAAGATCTCCACGGCAAGATCTCCCCAGGATTTTGAGCATAATCCAGCCACAGCCATCACTGGGATGATGTAATGCCTTTCCTCATTGTTATTATTTTGGCACAACAATGACTGGATGATTCTAAAAGACACTATAAATATCTAGTGGCCATAGACCTACCTCAAATAATTTTAGGATTTTGGATTACAACGTCAAGAGATCTGGCATGGTTACTATAGGTCATCGTAACACAGACTGAACTTCTCTGTTTCCTTGAATCATCTCAAGATAATACAGCTGATTCATAAATTCCCTGTAGCCATTGGGCTTGTGATGTTCATATGATCTATCCCAGAGAGCCACTTTGAAGTGACTTGCTGTTACATTAAATAACAACTCTTAGGAAAACTAGCACAAATGTTGGGAATGTCCCGTTTGTTATACAGTACAAGCAGCTCTTAGTGCAACTATCTGAAAACAACATTGTATTTTCAGTCCCGTCCACTTTTTTTGAGAAAAGGCGGGGGAGGAGTGGGGGAAATTGAAAACGTCACAATTATTGGAGGGTGGACAGAATTCAGGGGCAGAGCACTTGTATAGTTGCAAGACCCTCTCCCTCCTCAAATCAATTCCTGTCATCATTCATCTCAAGTAGTAGGAATAAAGCACACATGCACACACATTTGCCTAACCTTCTAGAGAGCCATGGGCTAGATGGCCGCAAAGTTTCTTCCAGTTTAACAAAGCATTCAGAATTGTTCAGCGTGCAGCAGAGAAACATCATACACAGGTCCAAATCAAATATTTCTATATCTGGAAAGGATCTATATTTCTTTCATATAATGATGACCCAAACTTACATTCCACTGAAAAGTACAAATGACAATAAGCTGCACTGAATTTCCAAGGACAGATTAGGGGGAAATTGAAAAGATTCTGAGAGCTGGTATTATGCTAGAATTTAGCACCAAAAAATGGAATCTCTTGTATTTTTATAAAAGGATGATGAAGTTCCCACTTCCCTAAAACTGTATGACGTGAGGTCTTCTTTGTTCCCTACAAATACATGTTCCTGAAAGCAAAGGAATGTTTCCTTAGAGGTAGAGAAACCATGTGGACAAACATCTGCCATCTAGACCCATCTCCATGATTAGAGGACTGGAGGCTAAAACATACGAAGAACGGTTGCAAGAACTGGGCCTAGTTAGTCTAGTGAAGAGAAGGACCAGGGATGATATGATAGCAGTGTTCCAATATTTGAGGGGCTGTCATAGAGAAGTGGGGGACACAACCTATTTTCCAAAGTACCCAAAAGCCGGACAAGGAACAATGGGTGGAAACGGATCAAGGAGAGAATCAACCTAGAAATACAGTGAGAACAATCAACCAGTGGAACAGCTTCCTTTCAGAAGTTGTGGGTGCTCCATCACTGAGGCTTTTAAGAAGAGACTGGACAGCCATTTATCAGAAATGGTAGAGGGTCTCCTGCTTGAGAAGGGAGTTGGACTAGATGACCTACAAGGTCCCTTCCAACTCTGTCATTCTGTATTCTATTCTGTAGCAACCCGCAGATTGTCCAAGGACATTTCAGTGAACTCGTTGATTCCACCCATTTGACTTATTCATTCTCAACCCCTTAGCCATTGTAAACCATTGTCATCTTTTTCCTGCCAATTATTTATTCACATCAATGCCTAGGGCAGTGTTTCTCAATCTTGGCAGCTTGAAGATGTGTGGACTTTGATTCCTCCAACTTCCCAATATGGCCTAGAGTATATGAATTCCTACTTGCTGATAATTTCTTCATATTGGGCTTTATTTATATCATGAATGAAGGTAAATATACATGTCTCAGGATAATTTTGCAGGACCCAATCTGGGTCCTTTTGGTTTTGTGCTAGAAGTTCATCCTCAGGGAACTTCTCTTTAGCAGAATGTGTGCTTTGGGCTATTCTATGTGTAATATTTATGTGGTTCCTGGTTGCGTGTGGGTTTTTTTTAGTTGTTGATTGGGGTGCTTGGGGATTTATTTATATCAGAATTGGGATACTGAATCTTCTTTCATCCATGGAACTCCTACCAGCCATCTCCAAATATGTAACTAAATGATTTTTTTCCTTCTCATTCTACAGTATTAAATATCCAGCTTTCATAGTTGTACATTATTGGGTGAAAAATGCTTTAACTATTCTGATGGATTTGGCCGATGCAATATGCTTTGTTTTCATGATCTTGAATGTCACTGCCCTCATTATTATGAGCAATTATTGAAATAAATTGTTTACCACTTTATTGCTTCAAGATAAATGCTGAAGTCTCACTGCTTGACATTACCTTTGTCTCCTTAATGTTTAATACTGTATTAACCTGGGTTTGTCATTCCAATGTTACTTTCATCATGGGTTCTTTTAAATCCTTACTTTCAGTTAACAGAGATTATTTGCAAACAGTAAGAACTTGATTTTTATGGGTGCAATGCAGTGGATTTTGAATGTAACAAGAGGAAATGTGATTAAGATTTCAGCTACAAAATCTGTTTTTTTACGAAACAGTACTGATGACTAAGACCATTTATATCATTTGCCTAATTACCTACTTGACATTATTATATCATTTGTTTTCTATAATTTGTATCAATTTATGTATAATTAGACAAAAGATGTAATTGCACGCACTTTGTGTAATTATGTCAAAAGTGTACTGTAATCACACAAATGACGCAAATTACTTTGGTTATTTGTACATGTTTTCATTGTCCAAGCCCCTGCTCAAGCAGGAAACCCTATATCATTTCAGACAAGAGGTTGTCCAGTCTCTTCTTAAAAACCTCCAATGATGGAGCACCCACAACCTCTGGAGGAAAGTCGTTCCACTGATTAATTGTTCCAACTGTCAGGAAATTTCTCCTTATTTCTAGTTTGGTTCTCTCCTTGATTAGTTTCCATCCATTGCTTCTTGTTTTGTCTTCAGGTGCTTTCAAGAATAGGCTGACCCCCTCTTCTTTGTGGCAGCCCCTTAAATATTGGAACATTGCTATCATCATCCTTCTTTTTACTAGACTAAACATATCCAATTCCTACAACCATTCTTCATATGTTTTAGCCTCCAGTCCCCTAATCATCTTTGTTGCTGTTTTCTGCACTCTTTCTAGTTCTGAAGTTCTTTCTACTTTTTGAAGTTCTAAGCATTTGCTTAGGAATCAGTAGCAGTAATAGCGGTAATTTTATTTTATTGCAGAATTAGCCAATGTACATTTTCTTATATTTGCAGCCTCTTCCAAGATTATGTTATGAGGGAATTAGCAAATCTAATGGATAAAGCAGGACAACTGAGCTATGGATAGGGTTTTTGACATGTTTATAGCTATTTTATCTCTTGACCTTTCTCTTTTGAGGGGTTAACATAAATTTAAATTTGCCTTCATTTTTGAATAATGCATTAATCGTATGTTGGTAAAATATATGTCTGTGTGTATGTCTGTGTATGTCTGTGTGACTTACCACAATATGTGAACCAAAGCAAAGTATAGCTTAATGTGAGGCACAGAGTCTAGTGAATGAATTCATTTTCTTAAAGCAAAATAATTATAGTATTTAGTAACAGCAGCAAAAGAATCAAATTGGAACTTATATTTTAAAAGCTCCTTCCTTTATGAAATAATGAAGAACAAGGGTGATTTTCAGCAGTTGTACAGGAAATGTGTCTCAATATAGATTTTTGGCAGAGGAACTACAGAATGCAATATCTTGCAAAGTTATGTCCTCTTTTAACATTGGGTTGAGCATGTTGAACATCCAGCAATTTATTACAGGAACAAATCAACTCACTCTGGTACTCCAACAGTTTTTCTGCAGAGCTTCTAAGATCTGACATTATTACTGGATTAAGGGCATCAGGGAGGATGACTGATTTTATAATGTACTGGATTTATATATGATTTTTATTGATTTTAAATAGGTTGTTGTCAAACATCAGGAATCCTTGTAGAGCTTGTAATATATGCACATGACAAAAATGAATAAATAGCCTTAAACCTGGAGTTGTAATTATCTGGGAGTTAAAAGATTCTATAATGTTATAACCAAACACAGAATATGTTTTTTCTAATAATCTGTTTAGAGAAAGGGCAATAATCTCATTTACTAATAAGTAAAAATCCGTTTTGGACATTTTGTTGAAGAAAGGAAAAAAATGAACTCATAATTTATGGATTTGATGATTAGAAAGGAAAAAAATGTTGATGTAATCTTAGAGCAGTGGTTCTCAACCTGTGGGTCGGGACCCCATTTGGGGTCGAACGACCATTTCACGGGGGTCGCCAAACAACGCAGTCTGCCATTTTTTCCCTCTTTTCCTTAGCTATGCTACTCCCTTTTATTCTATTGGCTTTTGAAAGCCAATAGAATAGACTCTCTTGAATAGAGTCTAATTCTATTGGCTTTCAAAAGCCAATAGGAATTGTCCAGGCTGTCTCTGCCCTGCTGAGCCCGTCAAAAGTCCCATTCTGCAAACGGTGCTGCACCAGTTGAGTAGTCCTTGACTTACGACTAGTTGAGTAGTCCTCAACTTACGACCGGTTGGGGGTCGCGGCATTAAAAAGGTTGAGAACCACTGTCTTAGAGAGAGATGGTAAAGTATTAACTGCTGCTAAAAAGATTGGAAGCCGTTTTTTTATAACTTTTTCTTCTCTTGCTGTTTTTCAATTTTCTTTCTTTTTTCTTATTTTCTTTCTCATTTCATATTTTTTATTTTCTTTATTTCTGGTCAAAAATTAGCATTGTTTTTCTCTTGTTAAAATTTTTCTTAATAAAAATATTTTTTCCTATGGAATAGACATTGGATATAATATTTTTGGGGGGGGGATGGTTTTATGGAGCATGAAAAAAAATATTGTGAAATAATGTTTCTTTCACAATGTCCTTCGCCCCATTAATATAAGATTTTCATCATTCCCTTTGTACAAGATATACACCATTCTGCCTTTTGCTGTCAATGTTATGTTCCTAAACAGCCCTGTCAGGTTGGTTAGATTCAGAGTGACAGACACAACATTATTTAGGAATAACTTTCTGACTAAGTTAGGATCTCAATCTGGATCTTTCCTCTTCTACCTAATTATATTGCAGCACCTAGCTACCCGTAAAAAGCTAATTGAGATCTGTTCCTCAATACTTTTGAAGATCATAATATGGTTAATACTTGAATGGAAGAAACCAGAAAACCCCAGGGCTATAGGCCAGACTGGAAACTTGGGAAAAAAACAATGCTACAAGAAGGCCGTGATTGACTAGTTCTACTATCATTAAAGAAGCTTCATAGACACATCTGTGATCACATGACCCAGAGCATACGTTTACACACATAGAGATATAACATAAACCCATACAAAATACAAAAAAACACAACATAGGCAAAGGACACAAAACTGATCATGAAATGGGCATAGTATAAAACAAATAAACTGATTAGACTACCTTGGAGTAATCTTCCACGATTCACAGAAATTACATACCACAAAATACATCTAAATCTGGATTAGCTATCCAGGCCTGTTACTATTCAGGGCATGTCCAGAGTGTTCCTGATGCAGTAAAACTTTTCAGCAAAGGAGCACAGCTTGGTAGTTACACTAACTTCTCAAAGGTTGAATCTGTTGAGTACAGTTAATCCTTGACATACAACCATTCGTTTTAGTGATAGTTCTAAGTTACAACAGGACTGAAAAAAGTGACATGATCATTTTTCATACTTATGACCATTGCAACATTCCAGTTTGGTTGACGTGATCAGCATTTGGATGCCTGGCAACTGATTCATATTTATGACTGTTGCAGTGTCCCGGGGTCATGTGATCACCTTTTGTGACCTTCTGACAAGCAAAGTCAATGGGGAAGCTGGATTCACTTAACAACCAAGTTACTAACCTAACAGATGCAGCGATTCATTTAACAACAACAAGAAAGGTCATAAAATGGGGCAAAATTCATTTAACAAATGTCTCACATGGCAACGGAAATTCTGGGCTCAATTGTGGTCGTTCATTGAGTACTACCTATACGATTCTTCAGTTGCCTCAAAGTGCTCCTACTAGTGTTCTTTTTATGGAAACAAGCCTCCTTAAATTGCACCCAACACGTGGTCTAACATCTTTGAGTTTTGACTAAAAGTTGCTATTTTGACTACGGTTTAGTCTAATTTATGCTAACCGATGCCCTTATCTTGAAATGTAAACAGGGGCTAGAGGAGAAGCTGGATGACTGTGGAGTTTCTCCCACACATTAATAACTGTATAAAACAGATTGCCTACTTTCTTCTGGGTTTCCTTAAATGCCAACCATCGCTGCCTCCCTCTTTTATGTTACCTCAGCACTCCAACCTCATGAAATATCAAAAAACATGATGTTTCTTCTTAATAGTATAGTTAAGTAGTATACTTAAGTTTCTTTTATGTTAAAAATCAAACAACCTGCAGCCTGGATGATGAAATATATTTATCAATAAAAGAGGCCAGGTTTATTTGCTGGCTAGAACATACCAGTCTAAGGACATTTTTCCAGAAACTTTTCCAGTTTCATTTTGCTTTCCATTTGTCAAACCCTGCATTATCACTAGATTAGCTAGAAATTTTAGGGAACAATTTCTAGTCCAACATTGTCTTACACAGTGCTTTTTTTTTTGAAAAAAAAAAAAAAGGTGCCAGAACTCACACATGTCATACAACTCGCCTTGCCTACCCCTACAAGGTTCCATCCAAAAAGGTGCCGGAACTCCATTCTGGGCGTTCTATGACAAAAAAAAAAGCCCTGGTCTTACCTAGCTGGATGCTTGATTTAAATCTTTTGGTTGATCAGAACTAGGTATATATTTTAAGGGGAGGCTTACCTTCTGAGATTTTACTTCCTCTGTAAGGATCAAAACCTGATGCTGAAGAGAAGCTGTTTTCCCCTGTTCTGCTCCTTCAACAAAATAACGAAAACTACTGTTGGCTTTTTTATATTTTCGGAATGTTGGTGGCTTTAGTCTCATTTTGGTGTCCTTCTGCATCTCTGCCATGACTGAAATAAATATAAATGATAGTTAATAACCTTCTTGCGCTGGAAGATCTCAGAATTATATTCTGAGAAATTGGTAGATTAGCAAAACATTCATATCTGCTCTAAAGTCACAAGATTTATGAGCAATCTTCTGCATGTTTATCAGGAAGTACATTAATAAATCAAATAAACTTTTATTATGGTGAAAGACCAGCATTGGAAGGGTGGAGTGTAGGAAATTTAAAAGGAAAAAAAAATACAAATACGTTAAAAATAAAATATATAAAAACAAAAATCTAAAAAAAAGAGTCTAAAAGGAGAGGTTAAAAACAATAAATGGGCATAAAAATGTGGTAAACTAAACATTTCTAATACAAATAATGCAATGAATTAATTACAAAACAATCAATAATAATGGTCTAAATAATCATTAAAACTGGTTTGTGGCACAAGTCATCTTCTAAAAGATTTTAAATACTTCTGTGCAAAACACGGCAACATTGTATGTTGTAACAGGATTGGTATCTGAAAGCAGAAGGAGGGTATACATTTATTTATTTATTAGTAAAATTTATATGCTGCCCAATCCCTAGGGACTCAGGGCGGCGTACAAAATTAAAACCACAAGTATAACAATTAAAAATGAATACATTCACACAGCATGTTCCAATCGAATCCCGCCCCCCCACCCCAGGGACATCAACCCCAGGCCTGCCGGAACAGGAGAGTTTTAATAGCTTTCTTGAAGGCCGGCAAGGTGGGAATAGTTCGAATCCCGGGGGGAAGTTGATTCCACCACGTCGGGGCCACCACAGAAAAGGCCCTTCCCCGAGGGCCCGCCAGCCAACATTGTCTGGCCGACGGGACCTGAAGGAGGCCCAATCTGTGGGACCTCAGGTATTTTTGCAATAATGGTGAAATAAGACAAATAAAACTAATACAAATATCTCTGTAGTATAGGCACTGGAGAAGTACATGTTCTGTGGTTTCTACAAAGTTAAATAATTAATCAGCATTACATCTAACCCTGATGTAAGTCCTATCAGATTCAGTGGGATTTCTTTTTTTAAGTAACATTGTCTAATTATTTTTGTTGCTTTTTTGTTCATCTCCCACAGTAGGCCCTCATTAATTTGCTTCCTAATACAATCACAAAATGTAACAGGAAATGTCTTTTATACATCATCATAAGGCAAAGTAAGTACCTGTATCCTCAGTTTCTCCCTTTAGGTGATCTTCATCAGCAACAATTTCAAAATTTTCCTCAAAACCACTACTGTCTTTTCGGTTCTGACGGCTGCCACACAGATTATGCACTGTGTTTCTAAAAGAAGAAAATTGCACAGAAAAGCTAATGCTTAGATCTTAATTCTAGATCTCACTATAATGGTAAAGCATATCTGGCTGCAGTATTTTAGAGTGCATGTGAAAACTCAGGTGGCGGAATGTACCTTCAAGCTAACTCCCAAATTCTCTGCAGACAGAAAAGCAGCATTCAAAAAAACTCATTTCTCTCTGTTACACTGGGTTTCTCTGTGTAGTAGGACTACATATACGGCCTGCAAAATCCAACCAAGCCCCAGCTAGCAACAATGATATAAGCCACCATAGTTGTCCAGAAAATGCCAACTCTTTGCAATCAATTTGGAATTGACATATTTTTGCAGCCAATATGTAATATTCTAATGCCTAAAAGTGTTTGCATAGAGAAACACTAAATCATTATGAACTACGACCTGGCATAAGAGTTAAAATATTCAGCTATCAAAATGGTCACAAATTGAGAGCCAGTATGGTCTAGTAGTGAAGCCATCAAACTACAAACTAGGAGAATGTGAATTCTACTCCTGTCTTAGGCATGAAAGCCAGCTGGGTGACTTTGGATCAATCACTCTCTCTCAAGCCGTGACATCAGTCTCGTATGACAAGCTGATTATCAATTCTTGTTCGCAACCAATGGATCAACACTTGTTTGATCCGAAAAAAGCAGCCCTACAATTGCAGGACTTGCCCAGGGAATCGCCAGAAGTCAAAAACTGTGAATACCACACAATCTTTATTTAGGCCATGCTAACAGAGGCACCAAAGTGTGTTCTCCCTCTCCCCACTCAGCTAGTGACTACTGTAGTCAGTTGAGAGGTGAATAATAGTGGATGGAGCTATTCAAGATTGCCCAGGGAAGAGAACTGAATGACAGCTCACAGATTATTACTTTGCTATGGAATACATGACAATAGCCTAAGTCATGTTTACTATTTATAAATAAATGACAAGGCTGTGCTTTATCTTTTAAATTAAATGTGCTTTTCTACAAATGCATGCTGTTTATTAATTTATGAATATTAATTTATATTATGCTTTATAATAATACATTTCATTTTATGTATTATTACAGAAAATAATTGTTAAGAGCCAGTTTGGGGAGTGATTAAGGCATCAGGTACAAACCAGGAGATCCTGAATTCTAGTCTCACCTTAGGCCCAAAATCTCAACCCCCCCCCCTTCTCAGCATTAGGCAGAAGGAGGCAATGGCAAACCTCTTCCAAGCATCTTGCCAAGGATATTACTTGGACCTGTCCAGGCAATCACTAGTCATCAAAACTGACTTGAAGGCACTCTCCATGCAAAAAAAACCACTTGTGTACATACAACACAATACCAGTGCCTGTTCCAAGCACTGGCTTGAATCCCAATAGACATAGGGGAATGAGGCTTCAATGATCTCTATTGGCCATGCTAGTGTGCACGGAGGCAGGGAATTCTATTCACAATTTCCAGAGGGCACCACGTTGAAGAAGGCAAAATTTTACATATCAGACTGGCTTTTATTACTGTAAATTGGTAGCCCACAAGGACATTTACTTGTACTTGAGCTGTCAACAGATTAACATGGCTACTTCAGCGCAAAATATTTGTCACAATTACTTTTCTGGAATGCAAAGAGATGAAATAGTTACTGTATTTCAATCCAAGGATGCTTGAGAGAGATGTTCTGAAGAGCAATAGAAGTCGGTGGTGCTGGTAGAGAAGCTGCCTTTATGCCAACTATATCAGTGGGAGTTGTCACCAAGGGTAAAAAATCCTGTTCTGCCTCACCTGCAGAGAAAGAGATACAGTTTAATAACTAGCAACCAAGGCATGCTAAATCTACAGATCACATGGCACAGCTACATCTTGCAAGGCATCACAATATTCTCAACTACCTCTTGAGCAAACACTGTCCTTTGCCTTGTAAGTACTTCTCCTTCAATTTTGTAGACTGTATCTAAAGAGGCCTTGCGGGAAGTGGAAATCTTGCCCTCAATCTTTAGTCTACTAGGGACAGATTGGGTAAAATCCAGTATTTTAAGAAGGAGAAGTTAATGTTGGCCGGTTCTCAGGCTGTCTTAACTTCCTACTTCCAAAGGAAAGAAACAGCATGATTTGCAACTTACTTAAGGACCTCTAAAATTATGGTTATTAGCTATCTAAAATTAACTTGTACTTTTCTATCTGGTGTTGACAAATTGGCCTGCTGCAGTTGGGCAACCTATGCTCTGCTTTTGCTTAATGACAAAGCAGGGGCACACCCATTCCTGTTACTTTGCCTCCAATAGCTGAAATACAGAAATTCTCTTCCATTCTGTTGATTATACTAACATTCTTACTTTCTACAAAAAGGGGGCTAACATCTAACAACAGCAGTTTGAAGTTTAACAAAATACAGAAAAGAACAGAAAGCTGGTAAACCAGTGATCAAAACTTCACTAATTCAATGTTTATTACAATACAGATGCATGACAAATATATAAATCAGAATCAAAAATCAAAATTATAAATATCTTCAAACTTCAAATCAATTTCAGGGTGCACCACATGAACCCAATGTGTGGTTTTTAAATATATTTTCTTCCATCAGTTTGGAAAGCTGGGAGTACACGTGTTGGGCCTAGGCATATATACCTCTTGCAGCATTAACACCTATAACACCTCAGGGGAGGCACCATGGAATTTGTGTATTGTGGGATATGGGACTGAGAAAGACTCCAGCTGTTTATTAGCAATAAACTGGGGACAACTTGCATTGTTTTTAAAAGGCCTTTTGCTTGATACATGGACCAAGACTGAAAGAGAATGTTCAGGATGATGAATGATGGACCAATAATCAGAAAAGGAGGAGGCAGAAAAAAATACAAGGCAATAACAATAATTTTTGCAGCAAATATATGCATTTAGAATTCTTGTATGATAAAGACCTGGAAATATGTGGAATCAAACTGCAGCCAATGGCCATCTTGATCTCCAGCAGGAGAAGCATACGTTTAATGAATCAGGAGCCACAGCTTGGCCTTCCATACATTTAGAAGGCTGCAGGACACATTCTGAAATGTTATTTTAATTCTTTTGTTTAATAGTACTATTATGCTGAACTGATGACAGTATGAAAAGGAAAGATATTGGAAGGAAGGAAGGTCACCAAAAGGGATGGAACCATCTTTTTCAGAATGAAATTAGGAGCAGGATATTTTGGAAGCAAAACACTCTCACTCTATCCCCCTTCTAAAACAGTCCTAAGTATACTGATATTCAGCAGCACAATCTGGTGATCTCATGGGGAATCAAAAGCAGGATGCTATCACTCACAGTAAAAGGATAAGGAGCTGCCTACCCTGACCTATATAACCTCTAAAGAGAATGCTGCCTCCTGTTGCAATTCAAGTTCAAGCTATTGTACTTTTATTACTTACTGTTGCTCTGCTGGGCCTCATTTATGAAAGGAAAGGATGGCATGGCTTCAACCAAACCCTTTGCCTGTTTATTACAAAATTCCCAGCGTTTCAGTTGCAGTTGTTGTAGCCAATACATCATGGCTTGTTTGTTGACAGCCTGCAATTCAATTTAAAATCAACACAAAAGAGAAAAGAAGTCAAGATATAGTCTTTATAACTAAAGTAGTCTTTTCCAAAATTGTTGCTGTTCCTAATGTTCTTGTTTATCACTTAGCAAAATCAAATCTTTACTATGGTCATAGACCAGCATAAGAAAAATAAAATACAAACACTTAATAATTTAAATGCTAAAAAATATAAAATACACAAGGTAAAAAACATTTTAAAACTTTCGTATATACACAGTATATACATACATATAGTGTAAATGTAAAAAAACCTATAAAAAGGAATAAAGTCATTAATAAAAAAATTCTTACTAATCTATCAGAATGCAAATACTCTCAGCTAACAAGTTAAATAATTTTGCTAGTGATTTTTTTATTTGATTCTTATTTATCCATAGCATGCTAAACAATTATGCTACTGTGATATTTAAAAATCCGATTGTCCTGGAGAGAACATATTTAATCATCCAGCAAAAAATTATATTTATTTACATGCAATGTCATGTTTCATAACAACGCTTTCTATTGAGAATGTTTAGAGATAAGCTAACAGCTTGCCCAACCGCATGTTATTGTCAATAAAAAGATAATATGAGATTTTTTTGAAAGAAATCTTTTCAAGCCATATTTGAATACAAAATTTCTTTAAATATTTCTAGCACTGAGTAGGAATTTCTTTAGCTATCATAACCAAGAACACAATCAGTTTCTTACTTCATGTTTTGTGTAGCAAATTTAAACTTCAACAGTTGTGAATCCTTTGTTTAACCATTTTATCAAAAAAAATCCTCTAAAGATTCTGAAACTTATATTAATTGGGGCTTCAGACCTGAATTCAGGCCACATTAACCCACCCACCCCCATCTTCCTGCAATTACGTACCTTAAGAATAAAGTCTTTGATGGGAGTCCTGATTTCAAAAATACCCTCATCTGCTCCCACTTTAAGATCAAAAGTCGCAATGGAAATCTCTATGCTTCCCAAAGGAGTAATATCTTGTGCTGTCCTATAGTATAGCAAGTAGCATTTATTTTCATCATAGCAAAACCAGCGTGACTTCCAGGTCTTGATTGGTGCTTTAGAAGAACATTTATGTAAATAACCACATAGTTTTTTCCTAGAAGCTTCTTGGCTAGGTTTTATATCAGCATTTTCCCAATCCTCAGAACATTGAGACATATCTCCTGTGAAATCATCACTGCTACTCCTGGTGTCTGCCATTTTTTCTTCTGGTGACATGTTTGATGTCTCAGGTACAAGACCCTCTCTGTCCTCATTATCTGATTTCATGTTTTCTTGAACAACAGCTCTCTTGATGGTAGAATACTAATTGCAAAAAAGAGAAGAGACACAAGTTAAGAACAGTAAAGGATAACCAAGTACCGGTACATGCAATAAGTCCAGCCACCTAAAATTATCTGAAATTCCAAATAGATTTTTTCCCCAAATACAGAAAATATGTTTTCCATTTGTCTTATTTAAATAAATGGGTATTATTCATTCTGCTAAAGCCATAAATAAATAAATAAAATATTTTGTAAATCTATTGTTGGATGTTATCTTTATTAGGAACAAGGAAAATGTCTCAAATGTGCACATTTTGAATTCCCCAGAGTTCTTCTTTGGACAGGAAGTTATAAACTGCATAGACAAGAGGATATGGTGTTGTTAAATTCCTTCTCTTGCCAACAAGTTTAGGCAAAACAGGAGTTGAACTTTGAACATAATATTACATAATACAATGGAGGCACATTTCAGAGAATATAAATTGTGACTACAATGATTCTGAATAACCAGTCTTCCCACTACAGCTTTCTAGCTTCTCCAAAGGTATAAAACTTAACCTCTGGTCACCAAAAGACTGCTCAATCCTGTCTTAAAAGTAATCGGAAGAGCTCCTAACAGAAACAGAAGTGGAAAAATCCTCTCCCCAGTTCCTCTGAAAGTAATACAATAAGAATAGCATTAGTCAGACATCAAGCTTTGCACACTTGTCTTCAGTGTGATATCCACTATAATTTTTGTCATATAATTTTGTACAGTTTTGCATTACCCAAACACCCCTGTCCCTCTGCAAAAGACGAATCTAAATGGAGACCTCAAAAAACAGGCACCAGGCTAGAAACCAGGAGACTGTGAATTCTACCGTTAAAATGAATAGATGGAAGACTGATGGCTGCATTGAACTCCCATCCTTTCATGGGGGTTCCACTATGTTTAAAAAATAAAAAATAAAAAGTGGAAAGCGGAGAGGTCGCTCTGTCTGTTTCTTTTCAAGTGTAATTTGTATTTCGATAAATTCTATACATTGTACTGAACCTCTCAACTCAGCCTACCTCACAGAATTATTGTTATTGGGGGGGTGGGAAGCTCCCGGGGAAAAAAAATCAGGCTGCAAAGGAACTCGAATCCTGTTCTACTTTTTTTTCCCCTCCCACACTACGTGCCTGCCTATCCCTTTGGCCGCTCCGGCGCCACCTGCTATGCATCAGGGGCGCCAAGCCTAAGAGCCTAGTTGTCCTTTGAAACATTGCGAGTGGTTCAGGTGAGCGAGCCACCGTTGTGCTTCTCCTGTTTTACGACACATGCCAAGGCGTCTGCCCTCTTGAAATCAACAAGTTAAACTTCTGCATAACGCGCATCCCGACAGTCTCTACGCTAGTCGTTGGCCCCAGAACGTCACTGCTCCGATCCGCTCTTTTTACCTCGACTCAGCCTGTCCCAGGACCTCCATGGCAACGCTCACCGCCGCCTCCTGACACCCGGCAGAGCAGGCCGACGCGAGGCGATCGCACAGCTGCTTCCTGGCGGGGCGGGGCGGGGCGATGCCAGGCAGTGCCGGCCCAGCCGGCTCCAAGTACCGTAAGCGAGAAAGAGGCAGCTTTACTCAAGAAGTCTTTCCGATCGCCTATTAACCAGGAGTTGTAGGTGCTCCGAGTTGAATCTGGGAGGCGTTGCCCGACGTAGTAGTTTGCAAATCTTCCTCTGACTAGCTATCCGAAGGGAGGCTTTTACTGAGCAAAATACGGGGTTGGGCTGGATGGCGTTAAAGACCCCTTTCCAATTTTTAGGATTCTCTTATTGCAGCTTTCGGTTCCCCCAGCTAAAAGAGCGGCTGAGCGCAATCGGCAATGACAGAAAGAGTCGTCAGAAGGGAGGTTCACACAATATTTCACCGCAGTGCAACGATTAAAATATTTTTAAAGTATTCTAATAACAGCTAGGGCCTAGGCTAACGTCGGGAATTAGTCCAATTATTTCTCTGGGTGGGACATTCAAAGAAGGGATCCAGCCTATTTTGGGGTTCCGGTTCTAATTCTGATTCCCAGATCAGGCATCTCTTTTTTTCTGACTTGTGATTATCCAAGGAACACAATATCCACGTGGCCAAGGTAGCAGAGCCACAATCATGTGACCTTCTGAAACAAAACTTCGTTTCAGATAGTATGATTTTGAGTATGGTAGTATGATTGCTGTAATACCTGTTTTTTCCTCAGTCCTTTGCTGCCGCAATGGCTCTACTGGAAGAACTTTAATTGAGTTTTCAACTACTGTTTATCATTTTCCCCAAAACATTTAACAATTCAGCTAGAACGGGATTATTTATGATGAGGGTCCCCTCCTTTGCTGTTGCCTGGGAGTTGTAGTCCACAAGTCGTAAAAGGGCCAAGTTTGAAGAGCCCTGCTATAAAGTGTTAATGCGGTACTGGAATTCCTTAGTGTTGGCATCATGACAACATTTCTGAGCTACCTGCTGCTCAAGTGTTTTCTGTTTGGCTGTCAACTATCCTACATTGGATAGTAATGCATGTCCAACAATGGACTGAACCCACCAGGGATGGCGCACTCACAACTTCTGAAGGCAAGGCATTCCACTGGTTGATTGTTCACCTGTTTAAAGGAATTTGAATAAAAGCTGATAGAGCAACAAACCTTATTTATTAAATTTCTATGCCTAATTTAAAAAAAAAATATTTTTTTGGCTTTGTGTTGTATCAGCAGTCCCTGTATCATTCCCATGGTGGTTCTGATTTTGGGATTTGTCTTGGTCAACAAAGGGAATAATTTTTTTACAATAAATAATGCTGTGCTGTAGGCTTATAAGATCCAATACAGTATTCAGAAGAACCAGAGTGCCTGTAGTTTACCAGTCTTTTGTAAAGAATTTTGCTCAACCTGATGACTAATTTATCTCATGCTGGTTTGCTCTTCATTTTTGTTGTTTTATGTCCTTTTTGTTTTATTTTAGCTTCCTGTTTGAAAAGTATTGAGGAAATATACCACAGCAAATGGGGAGTTAATGATCTCACAGTTACACATTCCATATATAACTATAATTACATACACAAAGAAAAGCAGATTGATGAGGAAAAGGTGAATATAGTCTAGAAACCTATAGGATGGAATGAAGAGGCAATGGATGCTTCCTAATAAAGCCAAAATTGCTAGGAATATAAATACTTTGAAGTTATAAATTTAGAGAATATTATTCCTGTCCACACCACTCTCCTTTAGCACCTACCTGCCTGCTCCACTTCCTCTAGCATACACTGCTAATTTATTATATAACTAGCTGTACCCAGCCACGTGTTGCTGTGCCTCAGTGTGGTTAAATGGAAAAGAAAGAAAAGATAAAGCGCACAATGCTTGTGGGTATACAATATTTTTTGTTGTTCCATTGTATGTGCAGATATAGAGATTACGTCCAACAGATGGCGCTATTTTTCAAAAAAAGCATGTTTTTACCTGTCACAAGTGTGACATCTATATAAGATAGGTATATAAAAACATGTGCGTATTCGAATGCAATGTTGTATCAAAATTTCAAAGCAATCGGTGAAGAACCTTTGGAGATTTAAGATTTTGAACAAATGAACATTTACATTTTTATTTATATAGATATAGATAAGAAAGATAGATTCTTTCAGAAAAAATATCCATATAATTACATTTATATTTCTATATAAGCATTGTTCTATCCAAGTGTTTTGTAGTATTCTGCATAGACTCCAGCCTATTTCATCTATCCTCTTTTGGTTAGCAGTGATTACCCTATTCATGTACTGTAATTGGCTATGATCACTTACTTCACAGCCACTCAAACTTTAAAAATCATGATCTTGACAGGCTGCCTGCTAGATACTTACTCCCAATGCAACGATGGTTTAGCTGACCATAACAGAAACGGTTTTTGATCATAATATTTTTGTCTGTGGAAATCTATATATCCCTACTACAGTAGATCATCCACTCTTAAACACAAAGCATTTTGTTTTCAAAATGACTAATTAGTTTGCTTACATGAAAAAGAGATTGTATTGTTTTGAAAGTAAGCACTTTTTTGCTTTAGTTTTTTTTTTTAAATTCTGGAACACACTAAATAAGATAGAACAGGGGTGTCAAACTCGCAATGTCACGTGACATGTCGCAATGTATTGTGACTTTTTTTCCATTGCCGGCAATGGGGTGGGCAGTTTTTGCATGACACATCCAGCCCGTGGGCCGGCAGTTTGACACCCCTGAGATAGAAAGATTTGTGTTTGCCATTAATTAGCGGCATTCAATGTATACCAATCTTTTTAAGGAAATAGTTACATTATTCAAGCATGAATAGTTACATTATTCAACATCATTTATTTTGTTTCATCTCATTGTAGATGAAGATTGACTTTGTTGATGGAAAAGCCTTCATCAGGGTCCAGTCCAAGCCAGGGATAAACAACATGGCGACTGCTTTAGAAAGAAGGTTGTAGTTTATTGGACAGCCAGACAGAAAGATGGCTCTGAAAGAAAAGAGTGAGCACATGTAGTAGGGAGTGGGTTTTTATACCCTCTGGGGCTCTTGAGGTTGTTTCCTGTTCCTGTTTGAGGCTTTGTATTTCCTGTGTTATGTACTTTGACCTGAGTCTGAGTGTGCCTTTCTGGCATTCTGGTGGTGGTGGTTAATCCTATTACGTTTCCTGTCCATAGAATTTTGGTGGGGTATGTAGATTTTAGGTGTTTTTGTCTTCCTAAGCTTCTAGCTGGAGGGCTCCAGCTAGAAGGATGATGAAGTGATGATGAAGGATGATGAAGTTATGATATCCTTCAATGTAATATCTCTATTTAACTCCATCCCCCAAAGCCTGGCTGTGTCTGTCATAAGAGAGCTGTTACAAGAGGAGGAGCCACAGCATCCAGGCTTACCTAATTCAGAGGACCTCATTCAATTGTTGAATTTTTGTCTGAGAACATATTTCATGTTCTCCACATAGGAACAAATAAAAGGTACACCCATGGGGGTCTCCAATTTCTGGGATAATTGCTGAGGCAGTTCTGCAAAAATT